GGGGGGTGGGGGTGGGGGGGGGGGGGGGTGTTCGATCCAACCGCCTTTTTTGCCGGAAAAGGGTCGGCTCTGGGTAAAATTTGATTTATGTACAAATGTTCATTAAGGTTTCGCAATAAAAAAAATTCCACTTTTTCAGAAAAAGAACCCTCCTCCTTTGAAATGGCTGGCTATGGGAGTGAGCTGCAGTTATTGCAATGCCTCCAATGCATGAATATAAAAATAGGATATTTTTAATTGCCCATAGTTGCCAGAGACCAGTGGAACCCTGAATCAAGAAAACCGCTCATACGGAATGCAATTGCTAGGTTTCTAAAATTTCGCCTGGACTACAAACAGAATATATCTTTGCAATTTTGTATAGGGGTCTTCCTTAAATCAAGCGCTGGTATATGAATTGCACGACCTGAGGCCTTATCTTGAACCAGAACACTTCCTAATTTATGCCCGTCTAAGCGTTCCTTAAGACCATACCTCGGAGTCTTTTTTTCTGGGTTCTTCTTCTGATGTCTTCTGGCCCCAGATTTACCGTCGTTGTTCCTGTGACGGTGTTTTTTATTCTCTTCTTCGTTTTCCGATTCATCGTCCCCCTCCCTCATTTGACGCAGAGTATAGGGGTAAAACAACATGGCTTTTGCTGAATATCAAGGGTCAAGGCAGAACGTTGTTGGCAATCTATCCGAGCAAAATTCGTCAGATTTCTCACACCTTTCAAAACTTCCTACCCTGCCTGCTATCCTCGTGGCCCGACTTTTAGAGTCCCTGCCGACTGGTGAGCAAGTCTGTCGGAATTTTTTTAAAGTTGTTTACGAGCGGGTTTTCATGAATTTTTCTAATTTGTCACATATCCTCCAACTAGTGCTAGGCGTGAAACTTCCGGTTACAACTCATCTTTGATTTTATTGCCTTGGCGTTGTTTTTCTTCTCAAGTAATATGTTTGGCAATTCCGGTCTCTAGTACATATTTCTCCTTGGTGCAGACCCTAGATAGTGTAACGAGTTTCTAGGCAAGGCGATTACCAGTGTAAACGAACTCATCACTAGTGAAATTCAGGTAATTATATCCTAGGGAGCCTTCTTTTCCATTCTGTCCTGGTTCTCAAAGTCTCTGGAAATATTCTGTAGTTGTTTCAACGTTGACAGAGACTTCTTGTAAATGTATGTTGCACTGGTGATTTACCATACAGACTAAAGTGCGATTAATCAGTATTAAATCGGTTTTCTCACCCTTCGTCTACTAGCGGCGGAAAGTACGATATATAACGCTTAATCACCTTCTCCGCTCATCATCCCGCTCTAGGGGCAAACGAGGAATGAGATATTCTTTACCGCAGCGGAAAATTATATCAGGTAAATTCCGGGATGGGGTGAATTTGACCGCGTACGGCTTGTACCTGGTGTCTCTCACGTCAATTGAGGCGTGTGTATGCCTTAAAGGAGAGATAGAATTGATGTTCGTTTACATTGGAAAGTTCACAACATCGGCCGTGTATCAGGAACCACGTTATTCATACCGTGTTCCAATGAAACGATGCTGTCCGGGAGGAGGGGGGTCTCTATGTCGAATTACCTTAAAGGTGAATTGGACATTAGATTTGCTCAATAATTATTCTCTGGAATGAAGAGTTGTGGCTGTGACAAACGTGACGAAAAATAATAAAAACGCAGACTGAAGTATCCATTTGCATTTATGGTGCTGCAGGCGTTCTTCTTAGGTATCTGTGAACCAAAATCAGCGCTGAAAGAGTGGTACTCTAGTGACTTGTACTTCTGTCTTCCTCCGACGTAAATTAACGCTCTGGTTTAATGTATGTAGTTTGGTGCATCTTGTTCGTTATGACAACGTCTTTACACTTGCATGTGATGACCGCACGGTTTGTGTACGTCTGAACATTCAGTGAGATGATGAACAATTTGACTGCAAAGTCAACACAATATTGCACGTAACGACGACATAATTTCTTATGTAAATGAATTTTATGACATTTTCTGAGCCTGAAATTTCAGAATCTGGTAGGTTAGACTGTACGCGATTTGAAATTCATAGTAACTTAAAATCCCTAACGGAGTTCATGTAGGCCTACTAGTAGGAGATTTTCGATAATCTCAGTAATCGGCTTTGGACGGCTGTATATGAATACAGAAAACATCATATTAGCGACTTTTGCAACAAGCATCTTACAGCAGAAACACCAAAACGCACTGTCACATGAGTAATGTCCTTGTGTTGGTGTATGACGATAGTCTTTTTTTTGGTAATTTATTTATCTATTTATTTCTGTTTATTTTTGTTTGGGGATGACGTTTGACCTACACAAACAAACAAACAAACACCCTATGGTCTTAGTTGTCTCAACAATAAATTAAAATGAAAATTGATGACATTGCCACCATTACGAAAAACTCCTATAGAATCCTTTAAGATCCTACAGGATTCTATACGAAATTGACCCAATTTCCTATAGGATCCTATAAGACTTTTTCGTTAGGGCAGCGCTGCTAGCCCGTCAGGTCATCGGGAACGTACATGTAAAGCGATCTACATGTATCTACAATGTAGGATGCCTACCATATCTGATGAAAATACAGTTGGCTTACACGATGATAGCTCGCTAAGACCGGATCTATAGCTAATTCTTTAAATACATTTGGCATCACGTTCATCTCAAGGTCACATTTCAAGGTCACGTCTTTGTAGCAGTCACAAATTACCTATAATGGTGTCAATTCAATATTCCTTCGGGCATGCTGCTGGCGCCAAAATGTCCTTTATTTTAATTCAGTGGTGCAGCGTAATTATGGAGATATCAGATCGATATGGTATTAGTCCGAGTGTTAAACACAGCATGTTTTCAATCTGAACGAATGTTTTTTTTTCCCTATTACAGGGTTTCGGCAGTGTGGAATGCATGCTTTTATTAATACTTAAATAATGTAAAGATATGTTAGTGTGCACCGTATGTGGTTTCACTATATGGCAATGGATGTATATATATCGGCCTTATTAAATTGATTCCTACCCAAAGGATTTTCCAGAGGACTTCACTTACAAATTACCTAATTGTTCTTCTGTGTTGGTAAAAAGAAGATCCATAATATCTACATTATCTCACCATATTGACATCTTTTCTGATAATTGCTTGCAAAATTACACTTTTCTCTTGGAAGCCATTTTCTTAAACACAACGTTAACCTGGTAAATTACTATAAAGTCAATTAATGGCACGTATTGTCACGGAATATAAATTGCTTTTCTTCTGGTTTCGTGGAAAAAAGGGTCTTTATAAACGACCATTCTATTCGTATACGCCAAATAGATTGTATAATACATATGGAACTTGATTGCACGCGGGCCGGGTATTCATTTTCATTAAACGTGCCCTGTAACAATTGTCAGTATGGGTGTCATTGTTTTTCTATACTCATGTTCCTTTGCTTACAGTGTTGACACAGACGTAAATGACAATATTTTGGGGGTGAAATTCATTTGAAATGAGAGAAAAAAAAGTAGGATGAAAATACATGGAGTGGAGAAAGCAAGCACAACATTGTTGGTTTACTCGGGAGGGACCAAAATAAAGCCCTTTTCTCTATCGGAGGCATGGTCAGACTTCACATTGGAGAGAGGAAGAGACAAAGTGTAGATACTGATTGCGTGGCTGTTAAGAATATATACAGCTGTATATATAACGATACATAGTCCCGCCCGTAGACACTGGAGGTTCGGTGTAAGGATCCTTCTAAATCAAAATCTGTTCAAGCTTCTATGCTATTTCTCTAATTGGTCCATTTTAGGGAGCAAGAAATAAAAATAAATAAAAAGTTCCGAAAAAAAGAACCCTCCTTTGAAACATCTGGCGACCACTCGTTTAGTGCTACATGTATTTTTAAAGTATAATCTGGCCATTTATTAGTGAAGGAGGAAGCACTTGCTGCCCGCTTGATTCATTTAGCAGACTTAAAAGCTAACCCTAATACTTGGGGCATATGGGATTTGTGTTTTACAGTGGTTTGGACCGAATAACTGATTAATTTGTTTTATCAGACCGGAGAGCGTCAATTATTTGTTTTAGAAAAGACTTAGGCCAGGGATGATATGTGTTTTTTTTTCCCGTGTTTGTATATCTTTGTCATTCAAAACTTATTTCAGTGATTTATACCATAAATTAAACGTTATTACCTATTTGTGAAATTCAGGTCAGGTAGGTTTCTCTAACCAGGTGGAAAAATGACAGAAAAGCCGTATTGAAAAATAAATCAAAATGTCACAAAACTGATGCATTTTGCTCTCTTTCGTCAAAAGTGTTGCACAGTGTGTGCCACTCTGTCTCTTAGGATATTCTAAAATTCATGTGAAGAAACTTGAGTATCTTATACAGTGTTGAATAAACATACTTGGGCGGGGGGGGGGGGGGGTATACACTAAATGTATCCCGGTCAGTGTATATTAACAGTTATACCAATCATCTTTTGTGTAACTCTTAACCACTGACCCTTCTAGGTCTTCTTACAGTTACAAAATCGATGCCCTTCGGTCGATTTTGTAACTGCCAGAACAGTTAGAGCGCCCTCCCGTAGAGAGTACTGTTGTGTTGGCGTAGGGGAGCATCATCTCTCCTCATCCGCTGCTCTCAAAGCACACCTAACACATTTAAGAAACTCAACACGATCAACGTTGACGTGTACCGTTCGATGTCAGTCGGGTAATTTTGGCATGGGGAATAAATGCTCGAAACTCGTAACAAATACGTATTTTTAAGGTCTATGAAGCGCGCCTGTCTGAGCCTCCTTGAACAATATGTTGGTGAGATGAATCCTGTGATATTTGTGTCACCCGAACCGGCTTACTGATATTATTTTTCAAATATTTTGAAGATATGTATTCCTCTTACTTAAAATGAACGCATATAGTGTCAATTGACACCCTATACGCAGCTAAATTTAATTGAAATGCACTTTAAGTCGTTTACAAATATAGCCAAGGCCACCCGTTTTTAAATACTAGCTCTGCCTATGTTCTGACAGCGATATCCTACGCGTAAGCTGCTGCATATCAATGCTTTTAACTTCAGAAAATACCAAAACAACTCGCCAAAGTGCTTTCACATGTTTGTCTATAAAACCATTTCCGAGCACTTCAACACAAGTTCTGTCGGGTTGTTAATTCTGTGAACTTACCGCGACTAACTCTTACTTTTGGCAACAGGCTGCATTCGGCACTAAGGATAACAGGCTATTATTCCTGTCCCAAAAATTAAAAAAAAAAAAAACAAACAAAAACATTCTGGATGAAGTCACCTTGATTGTCAGATAAGAAAACCAACGACTCTTTCTTATTCAAATAAATGAAACATTTCCTGGAGGAAGTCAGATAATTGCTAAATTCTCCACCACGACGGTTATACCAGACGTGCAGTTTAAGTGGGTTGGAGGGGGTCTTTTTCTAAAGAGGCGGATCTTCTTAGGCCTACCCCTTTAATTGATCTAGCTAGAGATGATCTTTTGAGACCAAATGGCAGTTCCTTTGGGTGTATACCTATATTCCGAGGGTCTTTTGCGGAACAGTCTTCGAAATATTGAACCCTGCAAACAATAAACCTTCAGAATATAAGGATGTCCCCGTTCTTTGCCCCCCCCCCCTCCCCCCCATCTTCCCGACTACGGGTCTACCTTAAACCATCATCTAGGTTATAGAGGAGTCGTTCCTAGAACGCTTCAGCTTCAGGGTGGTTCTATCAGGGAGTTACAACAGACTCCTTGGTTCTATCAAAAGTTAAAGCGTTTAACATACTAGGATGAAACAATCACTATAAGTACATACGGGTAGGGCCATCAAGATGTCTGAAACCGGTTTCTTCCCAGAACCGAGATGGACTCTCCTTTCATTAACCAAGATATTTGCCGGACATTTGCAGATGTCATTGACAGACAGCTGAAATGTTCACTACATGTGACTACATATTGCACCAAACCATTAACATGTGTATTGTGGACCTACCTTCTCAACGGGAAAGTTTGTGGAAAACTCCCAATAAGTTCGGTGAAGTTGGCAAAATGGTTTCTTTCCCTGTTTCAACAAGTGTTGGAAGATTAATGAAATATGAGAAATGCTGCAAACTTTTCCATTACAGCGAACTTTTAGTTTACATCTTGTACTAAATAAAATGATTGTTGTACAACACGGAAATAGAACTTTGGGAAAGAAACCGTGATTGGAATATCAGCTTATGCAGACAATTCAACAGAAAAAAAAGTTGTATTAATATCAAATCCCCAAAAGAGGACCAATAAAAACTAAAGCACTTGGATATAAGGGAATTTACAGTAGAGGTGAAAGTGTCCATTTCGCACAGGTCTGAAGAGAGGAACGCCGGGGAAAGTTATATGAGCTACCGGCAACTAATCAGCTATGCTGGCGGGTGGCAAGTTGTTTATAAACTACTGCCAGAACATATTATGTGACTGACATCGGACACTCGTCCGCTCTGCTTTGACACGCCAGTCGCTCTCACGGCGCATTCGTAGGCTACGTTGTTACAACGGGTGAAGTTTGTTCATAAAGCTATATAAATTTTATTTCGTCATACTTTATCCTCTGATGGTATTGTTCTGTAATATATTGTTCAAAGACAAAACGGTAGTTTTGTGTTTGATTACAAAAAACTTTATCTGTATGTACACTATAAATGGGTTCTATATACCGTTGTTTTTAACGCCATCTGTAGTGTATAAAATGCTCCAGCCCTCAGTCAAGAGGGATTCCAGCTGAGAATCCACCTATTTACCGACAATATCAAGTAGTTTACGATAATTGTTGAATAAGATGCTGCAGTGCGATTTCTCTGTCGTGAATATTTTGATTTGACCCCCACATCCTCCCTCTCTCAGCCACCTAAAGGTTTCTTTACAAAACTACTGTCACATCTAACAGATCCTTGCACGATTAATCCGCAACAAACATTTTTTAAGTTATCACTGCTTATTTATTATTTTCCAATTTACTAGTAGCGACAATGTTTGTTCTACAAACGGCATTACTACGATGATATCTACGGTATAGAGGCGTCATTAAAATAAGGTGACATTGTAGACGTAACATCTTCATCTCTCACACGTAAGAGTAGCCATAAAAGATGAATTAAACAAATAACAAACTATTTCAGGTTTGCGTCTCCTCAGTGATGAATTATGCTCTCCTTTGACATTTGTTTGTCAAGCCACTTCGTGTCTAAGTCCCTGTGGCAAATTAATACTATTCCCTGTGTCAAACTGATTAGGCACTGTTAAAGCTACATACTACAAATTTGCGATTATTGAATTCGTGTTTTCTTCGGCGAACGTTTCAAGGATTTATCAGGATTTACTACATCACAAATCCTTTTTTTCCACCAACATGTTCAATTTTCCTTGTAAATATTAGTTTCAATCCTGATACATTGAATTCTTCGTAACTGATTGGATAGGTAGGCCTATATCCAATTGTTGCATTACATTCACGCTTGTGCGGACACCTTTCCATTTGAAACGAAACATGTCTGAATTGGAAATTGTCGTCTGCTAGCATTTTGGTCTTTGAGCAAACTGTACGGCATAGGCCTATTCCCCCACGTTTTGGATACAGACTAATCACTTTGCTGCCAACAAAATTCAAGTGGGGCTAAGTCATGTAACTTTTTTTTCGCGTTTCATTTCGAGACACATTCTTGTTGCCGCTTCGCGCATGTTTCAGTGGGGCACACATCGATGGATGTTATTTACCGGCGACCTTCCACTTCCTCTGAGGTGTCTTTTTCTTTGAAGGCAATTCACTGACGACTTTCTACTCATCCGGTGGGGTGGCTGGAATAGAAACGAATACATTTTAATAGAATTTTCATTATTTTCAACAACTGAGCACGTTTTACCTCTTACTTTCATTTGGCCTTTCATATAATTTACCTGTAATGTACAATATCATTCTTGTTGTTTAGCATTCTAAGTCTGTTGCTGTCATTTACAATTCTATCAATCCATCTCTTTTTTGTTGTTGTAAAAATAAAATAAAATAAATAAATATAGATAATTTTCATATCTACTACCAAATCCTTGTTTAAAAAATATTAAACGACAAACCACATGTCTTATTGTATCAACAAGATTTGTTTTTGCGCGGAGATCGCCAAGGACACACTTTAAGACAGCCATGTTTTTAAAGATCTTTTAAACATTTTGAAAGTTAAAACTCATCCGTAATAACTATTTCATGTGTTTTTTGGAATTAAAGTCAATGAGCGTCAGCTAGAAATTACAGATCTCAATACAAGTCTGGTTATCTCTACACTTTAACACCAAGTTATCTATCGGGCACAGAAGTACCACAGGGCTTTTACAGTTTCCCCGACTAGCATATTGCTGTAATATGACGTGCTTTTACATGGAATTTAACATTTTAAATAGAGCACACCCTGATGCCGTTCAGATAGCTGGGAACCCATTTTTCTGCCATGCACGGTTTCTTATCTCACACAACGTTGAAATTGTGCCAGTGGTGCTTTCAAGCCTAGTGTGGAACCCGAAATGTAACGGGACACGGGTTGGAAAGAAATAACAACCCTGGCAACTTTTTAAACGTAGATTGCTTGATATTTAGATTAAACACTTTTGAAGGTCCCACGTATTTGCAGAAGGGGGTTGGGAAGAGGGGTATGTAATCATAGCAACGACAACGGTATACGGGGAAATTCTACTCTATTATATAGAGCAGGGAATGAAATATGTTCAGACCTCTCTAGTTTGTCTGTGGTACCGTTTTTTTAATTTTTTTTTTTTTGGGGGGGGGGGGGGGTTGAGAGAGGTGGTATCTCTAATGCTAAGGGAGTGGCACAGACCCCGCTTTTCCCTCCCAAGAACGAACCCACCATCATTACAATGGTTAACCGTGTGGCAGACAGCTTTCTTGTATTCATGAGAAACTGATGTTAGTTGTGGAATCCTGCTCACCAAATTTAATAATTTCATTGATAAGGAAATAATCCAATCTAGCAGAAATAGAGGAAAATGCTAGCACCAAACTAAAAAAGTATAAAAGGTTACGGAATCGAAGTATTCATATGGCACCAAACGAAAAAATATTACAAGTAACATAATGGAAATGTTCGTTGAGATCTTTCGACATTACGATTAATGTTGAAGTTGTCCAGATTTTATCTTTAGCAATGTAACAAAAAGTTGTTTTCAAATAATACATCATTATGGCAAAGTAAAACACTTGCTAAGAATAAAGTTAATATATAATGGGAACCCCGATTAATATTTCTAGGTTATCATTCTTGCAGAGTTAATAAAATCAAATACAAATTTTGCCGTATCACTGAAACAAATGTAGTTAAATGTCAATCAAACAACAACAAGATGAATGTCAAAATTGGAAAGATTTATTCTTATTTACAATTTTGAAAAATCTTCACCATCTTCTTTTATTCCAACAGACCGCATCTTCAAATTTACAATACATCTGTTTGGGTCGTTTACAAACCTTTTGGGGCGGTACTTGTATAGCGTAATATATGTATATCACTATGTATATATGTATAATAGAAAAAAGTTTATATACACAACTGATACATGTACAAGTATTAATAAAAATACATCGGCAATACTGAAGGTATCCTTGCATTAAACGCATAACATTTGGCCTAGAAAAAATGAGCCAACGAGAGGCCAGACCATAGCGTAACACATGCCATTACAATGAAACTAAAAATATTACAGTCCAAAGAAGCAAAAAAAGGAGGAAATCTACAAGCTCAATGTGACGATTTCATGCATACTGGCACAAAAAAAAAATCAAAAAAAAAAAACTGAAATCTATGTCAACAACTTACAATAAGGTCACATTTATCAACATTATAGGCAATCAATACAGTTAGGTTGTATCTAGCAAAAATCTTAGGGCACATCTGTTGGTCTAGCACAACTGACACAATTAGCACATCAAAATATTTCCTTTAATTTAAATAATGTGTTTACTTCATGATTTAATTATTTGGAATTGCCTGTACCAGAATAAATAGGTCTGATACAGACACTGACAGTTCAGTGCTGTCCCTCCCACTTGAGAAACTAAAATATATCTTTTCTATAACTGTTTCATTCATTGTATCAGAAAAAAAATTTGAAAAGTACAATTCAAATGATTAATTGGTTCACTTGCAAATTGCTAAAACTGTCTCCAGCTTCTCGTGATTTCGTTTGACAAGTTAATGTATTAGGAACAATTGTTAAAAAAACAAGGCAGCAAAGCTGTCAAATGTACAGACAAAAAACAGAAAATAAAGATGCAAAATAGGTCATTTTGTCAATTTTGATGCAATAATAAATAATGCTTATAATAGCACTGTCAGTCAACACTGAATTCTAATCATGCACAACAGGTACCATGGTCAATAACAGGAGCGAACCCAGAGATATTTTCTGATAGTATTCCAAAGTATCTATGTTGATCCATCCCCCATTTTTATGGTCTTCCAACAGAAAAAAATAGATACCAGTCAATATAAACTTAATAACCTGACCGTCTTCCTGAAGACCCAGAAGATGGTCTCAATCCACCCCTTCAATAAGATTACAGTTTCAGGATCATGAGAGTTCAAATTCACATGATGAAAGTCTCAATTTTTGAAAAATGATGACAGTGCATAAAATAATATTACATAATGTTTAAAGACATAAAAAACAATACAACTGCTTACGTGGAAATAAAGACAANAAAAAATTCCCATAATTCTGAATACAGAAAAATAATTAACTGGTTCTTTGTGCATTATCTTAGCTTACCTCACTATAAAATCTAGCACCACTCAATTTTATCACACTTACAGGCTACCAAGGTTTTTGTCCACCTAAACTTATCACCAGATCAACACCATCAATCTTTTTTATTTGGGACATGCAAATTTTCTTTGCCATTTTTGTTTTGTTTTAAAAGCATTGTTATTGTTTATCACAATATGTTATGCGCTTTCTTAAGATCTTCAATTTACCTCATGCTGTAATATGAAAATCCACAGACCTACATGATCTTAAAAGTTGAACAAAGCCATACAAGGATTTAACAAAAAAAAAAAAAAAAAAAAATAGCCAAACTATCATTAAACAAGATTTTTTATTTGAATTCGAAGCTTTTTTCCATAGCAAATAGATGCATTTTCTATTTAAATTTCATATTGTGACTTGTAAAAAAACTGTCTCTGAGCAACACATGCTTGCAACTACACAGGAAAGACTAATGGCAGTAAACTATCACATCAGTTAGTTCACTCAGGTGGCAGTGCTACAATTAAGGAAAGTCTGACATTACTGTGATCTCTATCTTCATTCCAGACAAGTTAAAATGCTGAGGTATAAAGGAGGAATGCTAGAGCTGTGTTCACACACCATGAACTGACCCAGTTGCAAACCACGAGTCATTAAGTTCACGAAGAATTGTTTTAAATTGAATTGATGATTCAATTAATCTGCTGATTGTTGTTGTGAACAATTAACTTAAAATATTAAAATCACTTTACATCTTACTTGACTGCTCAACTGGGTTTGCCAAGGACTCAGTTCACTGAGTGTAAATAAAAGTGTCTGCCCTACCAAGTGGCACTGGACAGAATGTAGGACAGTGACACATCTAGCAAACAAATCTCTCCCCCATCCCAAATCCCTATGTGCCAAAGTCTGCATTATCCACCCAACAAAATAGTTAAAAATCCATTTATCAGAAAACAGAAGTCCCAGGCAACTGACTACTCATTAAGAAGTTAGATCCCAATCATATTTTCACACTGGTTGGCTTTTTTCTGGGTGTCTTGAAGTGGCAAGCAAGTGGGTAAAAAAGTGAGGTTGGTCAAGATAATTGAAGAGCAAATCCAAGAGTGGGCTTAAAAGGGCATGATAAAACTGCAGACATTGTTAAGGTAGAACTATTTCATTGCCAATCTGATCTAACACAGCAATACAGGTTAGTGTTCTGATTCAAACCAGGGGAGATAAGGCTACAGGTGTGTTAATGTGATTTAAAAGGGGGAAATATCAAAATCAGGTGGTTGAAAGGCAAACATGCAAACTCTCAACAAGGAGAAACTATCAACAGCTGTTGTGCTTTCAATCTTTATCTGCCTTCAGTCTATGAGGTTTCCTTTTGGCTTAATCAATGCGCCAAGAGCCTTTCTGCCAGACTCATTGTGGTCTCAAAGTGTTCTCAATTCCTCTTTTAATCCTTGCTCTATGGGTCCTCTGACCTGGCAATTGCACTGTTCTATTCTGCCTTTGCTCTCTTTGGGGCTGGACTAGGATAGGGCTTGCCTGTCTTTATAATTTACTCATATGAAGCTCATGAATGCGGCTGAAAGCGGAAAATGAGGTCAAGGTCACCATAAGGTCAATGCCATAAATAGGTCAAGGTCACCAAGTGGCAAAGGGGGCTCATTTGTGTACATGCCATCTTATCAAGAGCAGCATTTTATCCCTATTCTAGTGTTGTTGACCTGAATGCAGTTGATAAGATGCCATGTACAGCAGAGTACAGACGGGCGAGGGATCAAAATTGGTTCAGATTTTAAACAGCAGTGTCACTGTCCTAAACATTTCAGATGTTGCCACAAAGGGGATGGGTATTACAACAAAATACTAGTTATATATAACAGCCAACTTAATACAATAACAAAGCAACTTAAACTATCCATTGACAAAGTTAACAAAAATTGTTGTCAAACTTGGTGTTATATAAATGCATATACTCAGTAAGTTACACCATGGCAGCCAATATTAATAATATTTTTTGCTACAAAATTTCTGAATATTCATAACAATATGTTATTTGCTGAAGGAGAAATTTGAATATCTGCAAAGAACCTTCTTGCAGTTTAAGATTGGCTGCGATAGTGGTCCAATTACATCAAGATGGAAAAATACATGCTTGCAGAAAGCACCAAAAAATGTAATTAGATTATCATAAAATTAAAAAAAAAACATTGAAGCTTAGTCTACCACATTTAATTAAAAAACAAAAGTATCACATGATCAGTCATGTGACAACATGCAGCCAATCAGACAACAGATCATGTGGGTTATGTCACATGACATCCACGAAGAACTCACAGGGATTTCCCATGGCCATCCTGAATGACTGCCGACTGTTGCTGACATCTGGTGGCATGTTCATAAGCTCTGCTGGGGGTGGGGGAAGGGAGCGTTCGCTGGGGGCCCCCCTCCGCACACTGGCCATACTTCCAGTCTCGGTCTCACTGCCGCTATTTGAACCACTTGCTGATTTTTTGTCTTTACTGTCTTTTCTTCTGTCACTGCCACCAGAAGCGCTGCTTCCTAGAAGATACAAGATGACACAATTTAGAACAATTCTTAATATATCTAAAAGAGAAAAACGTAGTATTAATTGCCCTGGTATGATAGTTATGAATCCCGCAGCACTCAAAAAATGTTTTTATCTTAATCTACACATTAAACAGTGAATATAGAATCCCTTCTTAAATGTAAGAAAACAGTTTTAAGCACTCTGCAATTTGAATCTCTGACTGATAACACAAAGAATCCACATAGAAATGGCACACAGTAACTCCTACTACTACTGGTGACATAGCAAGCCATAATAATCACAGTCGCAATAGTGATAATGCACAAGTTCCCATCAAAATGCTTTTTATATAAAAAAAACATGATCAGCAAAAGGACCAACTTATGACATTGTGAAACTATAAAGTTACGATGTAAACATCACAATACTGTGAAAACATTACAAATCTTGTGATAATAACATAACATAGCAGTACAATCTGACAGAAAACATTATAAATATAATCACAATGCTACATCCGTTCTACACTGCACACTTTTCAAAAACAAAGTATGAGGAATTGAAAAACTGTCTGTAAATTTATATCCAACATTATTTTGTGCTTAGACTTAAAGATACTTTATATTTATTTACTAAATAGTACTTTCTTGTGACAAAAATAATTGTTTATGTTCTTTTTAATAGATAAATAAATAAAATTACCACATAAAGCTGAATTCAATGCCATTTTATGTGAAAATGTCAAAAGTGATGCTTCTGAATATGATGGTGATAATTTTATTTTCTTATTACATGATTTCCATTATCAAGTGAAAATACATATGCACATACTTGATATCATGCCCCTCAAATGTGCCACAATGAGACAAAATTGTCAGCATTCCAGAAACCATCTAGCACAAACTGATTTCTCTTTAACTGATACAGAATATGTGCTGTTGATAAAAGAGTACAAACCCAGTTTATCACAATCTGGACCCATGGAATCCTGGCCCTTTCCAGATATCTTTTCACAATCCTTATTTTCTACCTCCCCTACTTGATTAACCAGTGGGCACTTCTCAGAGTCTTTATTTTCTACATTCCCAGAAGAGGATGTAGATGCAATGCATTGTGGGGCATCCCTTTCCTTTTCAGAGGAAGTAGAAGTTGTAGTAGTAGTAGTAGTAGCAGTGCATTGTGGGGACTTTCTCTCCTTTTCTTTCTCCCACAGTTTGCGTAATTGGACGCACGTATGACTTATTATGCAAGTGCATGTGTTAACCGCGACTGGAAGAATGAAGGACATGAAAGAGGAAAATAAAGAGAAAGATAGACAATTTGGTTAAAAGTTATAGAGCTGGCCATGGTAAATTAACTGCGAGACAGTGGATATCATTTTCATTTACACGACAGCTGAATGGGTGTGTAACAGTCATTATGTCAAAATAAAACACAATGACGTGATCTTGCAATTAACTTACTATGGCTTTAAGAATACTTAACCAGATTCAAGCTGGAAATAGCTCTGAAAAGATATCAGAAATGGGGGAGACGGACAGCAAAACGTTTTAAGAAAAGACCAAATTTAGTGCATCTCAGACCTTCAAATCAAAAGAATATTTTTCAGAGCTTTCCGCCAATGTGCACAAGTTAAATTTCAGTGAGTTTATACTATCTATTAGATTAGGGCAGACAGACCATAGGACAAAAGCATAAACATGGCTCACTTCTCCTTGCAAGGTTATGACTGAAGCTGTTTATGGTATTTCTAGATTGAATAGGAGGCAGTTTATAGGACTAAAAACAAGCTTAGTACTGTAGTATCCCATAATACACCACTTCCTGTATTTCAAGTTCAGCAGCCCTATCTAGTATTTCTGTATAGTAAATAAGTTCTTGAAGCTTGCATTATCTGCAGACCCAGCTGGCATATCTGTATATTCAGTAGTTTCTTGAAGCTCACATTATCAGCAGCCCTAGCTGATATTTCTTTATATTCGGGTTTTAAGAGCATACATTCACCCAAGCTATTTGCACATGCAGCAAACACATGCGCATATCCATTTGTATTATCACAGGCATCATAAGGGTATGAGGCAGTTTGGTTTAGAATACAGGGGCTAGGGTAGTATGATTATGTTAGTGGAGGAATGGTGTAATTCAATCTATTAAATTGCTAAGCCAGATATATAGTCATTTTTAATTTGTTATCTATTATTATTTAAATCTTGTTTCTATATCATGTTTTTAATAAACTTCAAATGTTCCATTAACTTTATGTCCTGAATTATAACCTTAATATATAAAACTAACTTTCAAACTTCAGATTTTTATATAACCAACTAAAAGGCATTTTCATGTGAAACAAAAATACAGCAATTACCAAGAGACTGGCAAATTATTAAAAAAAACAGGGAAAGGAAAAAATAAACTCTTTTAGGATTGTTAAACATTATTATTACCGCGAACAGTTGAAAAATCAAAAGTTCACAAGAAGTAAAAAAGAATGATAGATTCACAAAGAAATATGTATCCAAATAGCAGATTAATAGTCGAGACAAAACAGAAGAGCATTGCCAGCATAGAAAGATAGGATAAAAAGAAATGAGTAAAAAGATACAGAAACTTGACTGAAGTCCGTTTTTCAAAGAGACAACTGAATAGCAAAACAGAATGAAAAAGTAATCATTTAGGCATTCAGTTAGCTCAGAAAATCAAGAAAAATTACTAAACGTACCACATATAAAATATTAAGACACGGTCAAAGTGCCATTATTTTATTCATGATGCATGAAAATGAATGGTAGAAAACTGCCTTGAAATAAGATAAACCTTATGGGCTCTACATAGAAAGGGGGGGGGGAGTGAATCTTGGACATTTTACCTTAAAACTTGCCTTCCCAGTCCTGTGGATCAAATGACAACTGTAATAGTGGAGACCAACTCTCTAGTAGGAGAAAATAACAGAGACAACTGACATCAATTCTCAACAATACGTGATACCATCACAGTGACCTCAGTAGGATGTACTGGATAGGGGTAAACAAGGGGGGAGGATGGATGTAGAAACTTGGTCATCAGTGAACCCTCCTTGAGCAATAGTAACGCGGCTATGCTCAATGCTCAGAATCTTTAGTGTCTTTCATATCAAATTCCGGTCATTACAGGTCTGAATCACCTTATATTATTTCACAACACCACCTTTATCATAAGGATGACACTATATCTTCTGGCATATACTGAATTTCTATTTCCCATATCTACCAAGCTTCCCTTACACCTTGCATTCACATATTTCAGCATTTTATGGTGATAAAAGGCCCAGAAAAATCAGACCCTTTAAAGATAAAACAACTGCTCAAACTACAATTATTTTGGTTGCTATGTCACCAGCATACTCCTGAAGGTAAATATATAAACCAAGCTTAACTAGGTTTAAATATGAACTACATTTAAAGACCGATTTCACAAAAGAACTTTTGCCAAAAAGTTGATCTTAATTCTAAGACTAAAAACATTTGGTCTGATTTAGTTCGGGATAAATCCATGGTAGTCCCCTAAAATCAAGTTACTTCTGATCTAAAACATTAACCAATTCTGCCCTTTTATAAAACAGGCACAATATTTCACGTACTTGGGACTGTTTTTCATTTCCCATGGGCTGAAGTAGACCAATTTTTTTTCACCTTGAAGTAAAGATCAACATTCTTAGTTCTTTTCTGAAAAAGACAAACTTGGACCCAAAACCTGACATGATCATGTGGTGGTATCGTTTCAGGCTTTTCTGGATCCAAGTTAGTCCTGATGTAAATGCAGCCATTATCACCACTTTGGCATTAACTGTTTGATTAATGACAACCATAAACATATACAGCAAGTAGTAGGCAGGGATAAGCAATATATTTGGGGGGAGGGGGGAAGAGGGACATTTTCTTTATCAATATCAACCTGATAAGAAGGAATGCATATTATACAATATGATTAAATATAACTGCTGGCTAGTTCATACTGCACCAGGCTCACTGTGACAGGGGCTGTATGTCAATAGAAAGCAGGTGTTTAGCCAGCTCTTCCAAAATCAAATGACAGCTGGACCACTGCTGGGCTAAAATTCTGATGTAAAGTCAATTTCCATCTGGTTCATGGCTAAACACATCTGAGCAGTCGACAAATTAATNTTTATCTAAAAGAGAAAAACGTAGTATTAATTGCCCTGGTATGATAGTTATGAATCCCGCAGCACTCAAAAAATGTTTTTATCTTAATCTACACATTAAACAGTAAATATAGAATCCCTTCTTAAATGTAAGAAAACAGTTTTAAGCACTCTGCAATTTGAATCTCTGACTGATAACACAAAGAATCCACATAGAAATGGCACACAGTAACTCCTACTACTACTGGTGACATAGCAAGCCATAATAATCACAGTCGCAATAGTGATAATGCACAAGTTCCCATCAAAATGCTTTTTACATAAAAAAAACATGATCAGCAAAAGGACCAACTTATGACACTGTGAAACTATAAAGTTACGATGTATACATCACAATACTGTAAAAACATTACAAATCTTGTGATAATAACATAGCAGTACAATCTGACAGAAAACATTATAAATATAATCACAATACTACATCCGTTCTACACTGCACACTTTTCAAAAACAAAGTATGAGGAATTGAAAAACTGTCTGTAAATTTATATCCAACATTATTTTGTGCTTAGACTTATAGATACTTTATATTTATTTACTAAATAGTACTTTCTTGTGACAAAAATAATTGTTTATGTTCTTTTTAATAGATAAATAAATAAAATTACCACATAAAGCTGAATTCAATGCCATGTTGTGAAAATGTCAAAAGTGATGCTTCTGAATATGATGGTGATAATTTTTTCTTAATACATGATTTCCATTATCAAGTGAAAATACATATGCACATACTTGATATCATGCCCCACAAATGTGCTACAATGAGACAAAATTGTCAGCATTCCAGAAACCATCTAGCACAAACTGATTTCTCTTTAACTGATACAGAATAAGTGCTGTTGATAAAAGAGTACAAACCCAGTTTATCACAATCTGGACCCATGGAATCCTGGCCCTTTCCAGATATCTTTTCACAATCCTTATTTTCTACCTCCCCTACTTGATTAACCAGTGGGCACTTCTCAGAGTCTTTATTTTCTACATTCCCAGAAGAGGATGTAGATGCAATGCATTGTGGGGCATCCCTTTCCTTTTCAGAGGACGTAGAATTTGTAGTAGTAGTAGTAGTAGCAGTGCATTGTGGGGACTTTCTCTCCTTTTCTTTCTCCCACAGTTTGCGTAATTGGACGCACGTATGACTTATTATGCAAGTGCATGTGTTAACCGCGACTGGAAGAATGAAGGACATGAAAGAGGAAAATAAAGAGAAAGATAGACAATTTGGTTAAAAGTTATAGAGCTGGCCATGGTAAATTAACTGCGAGACAGTGGATATCATTTTCATTTACACGACAGCTGAATGGGTGTGTAACAGTCATTATGTCAAAATAAAACACAATGACGTGATCTTGCAATTAACTTACTATGGCTTTAAGAATACTTAACCAGATTCAAGCTGGAAATAGCTCTGAAAAGATATCAGAAATGGGGAGACGGACAGCAAAACGTTTTAAGAAAAGACCAAATTTAGTGCATCTCAGACCTTCAAATCAAAAGAATATTTTTCAGAGCTTTCCGCCAATGTGCACAAGTTAAATTTCAGTGAGTTTATACTATCTATTAGATTAGGGCAGACAGGCCATAGGACAAAAGCATAAACATGGCTCACTTCTCCTTGCAAGGTTATGACTGAAGCTGTTTATGGTATTTCTAGATTGAAAAGGAGGCAGTTTATAGGACTAAAAACAAGCTTAGTACTGTAGTATCCCATAATACACCACTTCCTGTATTTCAAGTTCAGCAGCCCTATCTAGTATTTCTGTATAGTAAATAAGTTCTTGAAGCTTGCATTATCTGCAGACCCAGCTGGCATATCTGTATATTCAGTAGTTTCTTGAAGCTCACATTATCAGCAGCCCTAGCTGATATTTCTTTATATTCGGGTTTTAAGAGCATACATTCACCCAAGCTATTTGCACATGCAGCAACACATGCGCATATCCATTTGTATTATCACAGGCATCATAAGGGTATGAGGCAGTTTGGTTTAGAATACAGGGGCTAGGGTAGTATGATTATGTTAGTGGAGGAATGGTGTAATTCAATCTATTAAATTGCTAAGCCAGCTATATAGTCATTTTTAATTTGTTATCTATTATTATTTAAATCTTGTTTCTATATCATGTTTTTAATAAACTTCAAATGTTCCATTAACTTTATGTCCTGAATTGTAACCTTAATATATAAAACTAACTTTCAAACTTCAGATTTTTATATAACCAACTAAAAGGCATTTTCATGTGAAAAAAAAAAATACAGCAATTACCAAGAGACTGGCAAATTATAAAAAAAAACAGGGAAAGGAAAAAATAAACTCTTTTAGGATTGTTAAACATTACTATTACCGCGAACAGTTGAAAAATCACAAGTTCACAAGAAGTAAAAAAGAACGTTAGATTCACAAAGAAATATGTATCCAAATAGCAGATTAATAGTCGAGACAAAACAGAAGAGCATTGCCAGCATAGAAAGACAGGATAAAAAGAAATGAGTAAAAAGATACAGAAACTTGACTGAAGTCCGTTTTTCAAAGAGACAACTGAATAGCAAAACAGAATGAAAAAGTAATCATTTAGGCATTCAGCTAGCTCAGAAAATCAAGAAAAATTACTAAACGTACCACATATAAAATATTAAGATATGGTCAAAGTGTCATTATTTTATTCATGATGCATGAAAATGAAAGGTAGAAAACTGCCTTGAAATAAGATAAACCTTATGGGCTCTACATAGAAAGGGGGGGGGGGAGTGAATCTTGGACATTTTACCTTAAAACTTGCCTTCCCAGTCCTGTGGATCAAATGACAACTGTAATAGTGGAGACCAACTCTCTAGTAGGAGAAAATAACAGAGACAACTGACATCAATTCTCAACAATACGTGATACCATCACAGTGACCTCAGTAGGATGTACTGGATAGGGGTAAACAAGGGGGGAGGATGGATGTAGAAACTTGGTCATCAGTGAACCCTCCTTGAGCAATAGTAACACGGCTATGCTCAATGCTCAGAATCTTTAGTGTCTTTCATATCAAATTCCGGTCATTACAGGTCTGAATCACCTTATATTATTTCACAACACCACCTTTATCATAAGGATGACACTATATCTTCTGGCATATACTGAATTTCTATTTCCCATATCTACCAAGCTTCCCTTACACCTTGCATTCACATATTTCAGCATTTTATGGTGATAAAAGGCCCAGAAAAATCAGACCCTTTAAAGATAAAACAACTGCTCAAACTACAATTATTTTGGTTGCTATGTCACCAGCATACTCCTGAAGGTAAATATATAAACGAAGCTTAACTAGGTTTAAATATGAACTACATTTAAAGACTGATTTCACAAAAGAACTTTTGCCAAAAAGTTGATCTTAATTCTAAGACTAAAAACATTTGGTCTGATTTAGTCCGGGATAAATCCATGGTAGTCCCCTAAAATCAAGTTACTTCTGATCTAAAACATTAACCAATTCTGCCCTTTTATAAAACAGGCACAATATTTCACGTACTTGGGACTGTTTTTCATTTACCATGGGCTGAAGTAGACCAGTTTTTTTTCACCTTGAAGTAAAGATCAACATTCTTAGTTCTTTTCTGAAAAAGACAAACTTGGACCCAAAACCTGACATGATCATGTGGTGGTATCGTTTCTGGCTATTCTGGATCCAAGTTAGTCCTGATGTAAATGCAGCCATTATCACCACTTTGGCATTAACTGTTTGATTAATGACAACCATAAACATATACAGCAAGTAGTAGGTAGGGATAAGCAATATATTTGGGGGGAGGGGGGAGGAGGGACATTTTCTTTATCAATATCAACCTGATAAGAAGGAATGCATATTATACAATATGATTAAATATAACTGCTGGCTAGTTCATACTGCACCAGGCTCACTGTGACAGGGGTTGTATGTCAATAGAAAGCAGGTGTTTAGCCAGCTCTTCCAAAATCAAATGACAGCTGGACCACTGCCGGGCTAAAATTCTGATGTTAAGTCAATTTCCATCTGGTTCATGGCTAAACACATCTGAGCAGTCGACAAATTTATCCATTTAGTTGTAAATCGAGGTTCAGTGAAATAACTAAAATGATGCTCTCTGGAAAGAAAATCCACAGAGAATTTATCAGGCATGCTTTTTAGCCATAAACCAGTTTTAACTTCGTAACACCCTGGGTAGCAGCTTAACTTGTCCTCTCAGCGCACAGGCATCACTGCACCAACTTCATCACACCTTTTAATGCATGGCAAGCCGTAAAGCACCTCAAAGCTTGAAGCTTTAAGCATCACAGAACATGGCACATATACAAGATAACACACTCAGTATTTATAGTCACATGTACAGATGTCTGTATCCGAGAGATGACCCATGGAAAGCAATCAGTATTGTACAGTGAATGGCCAAGATCTAAGGTGCTGTATAAAGTCTCTGCCGCATCAGGCTCACAAATGTTTGGAGAACAAATTTTGACCTGTAGCACAAATACATAGCAAAGAAAAAGGTGGCAATATTCATATTCTAAGTCATTAACATTGATGTAGTAACTTGACACTGACTATTAAAAAGTGCAAAAATCCCCACTTGGAAGAAGGTGAGCAAAAACAAACGTTTGTTCTCCAGGCATCCGCAAGAGGAGCGTAACAGAGGCTTATAGAGACCATAGATCAGAATGCCATGTTACTGAATACCGATTGATATCCAAATGTTCATCCATCTGATACAACTCTGGGCTCATTCTACAATAACCTTAGTTAGATATTAATGTTAAGATTGATGCAAGATCTAAATAAAATTTTGCCACAAATTTGTTCATAGAAATAAAATGCTTTACATTCGCTTAAACCAGTTTCAATTCTATTCAGTGTGCTGGTAAACAGTTATGTATGCTAGACTGAGCTCAGTTTGAATAGAACTGGGTGCTTGCAGAAGCAGCACAATCATATATATATGCACAATCTTAGGACCTTTTCACACAAAGTGGTACACTTTAGCCACAGAGTCTGTACTGGTACAGTTTTACAGTTGACAACTTAAAAGCCTAGTTATTGCGTAGGACAGGGCTCAAAATGGAGCCCCTGCACCTGGCATGGCCAGTTAATCAGTTTGTGAAAGCGAATAAAATCTCCTGTGGCATAACTGCCTGCTAGGGCCTCTCAAAGTACAGACTATATTGTGAGCAAAAGTATAGCATTCACAGTGAAAAGGGCCTGTTCATCACTTGTGTCATATCTAAAGTACCACTCTCTACCCACAATGGCCTAGTCACATACCTGAGCCACTGTTCACACTTCCTGCGCTACCGTTTCCACCTCCGCCAATATAACTTTGAGAGCCACCGACGTAACTTCCTGGCCCGAAGCTCCCCATATCATTGGTATAACTCATAGGTGGCGCCGTGGGGTATAAAACAGTATTTTGTGGCGGCATAAAGCCGTAGGGAACATTTGCCCCCCACGCTGGGGGAGGTAATGGAGCTAAAGTGTCTCTATCCACCTCTGATACAGAGTCTACGTCATCTAGACTAAGAAGTGACATATCTGGAAAGAAATACAGAAAAGGTGGATTTTAAATTTCTTGTTTTATATCTGGTAAAAAGCAAGACATCTTTCGTAGATATTTCGTAGATATTTGTGCATGTTGATTATTTTTTTAACCTGGCACAAATAACATGTTTTAAGTTTGTTTTAAAATGCTTTTTAGCGGAACTTTAAAATGTACTTCAACTACAATCATAAGCATAATTTAATACATGAGATATTCAATCTTAATTTTCACCTGAACAAATAAACAAACACAAATGTATGCTGTAATTAAACTTTGCAACTGTGTGTGTGTATTGCTCGTTTATCCTTCATGTCTAATTATACATGACTTAATACCTATACGAGTCTACTCACTTCCTGAGAGATCACCAAATATATAATAGCACTGTTCAGAGAAGGTGATCTTGTTCACCGTGTGGCGGATGAAGCCAGCTTTTAATAAATTACATGCATATTTCCTGGCGTCCCTCCTGTCAGCAAAACCTTCTATATGCTGGTGAAGCCAGTCTACTAAGTCTGAGCCTGAAATCAAAGTGAAGCCTTCTTGAAGTGGTAGAATCAAAATTGAAAAGCAGGGTATCCTATCCTATTCTAAACAGTAAAAACACCTAAAATGACACATAGATAATAATTTAATTTTAATGATTCCAAAATTTATATATCTAAAAGATTGAAAGTAGGCTGATGTAAGGGCAATCTTTCCAGTAATATGGAGGTGTACAGTTTTCTCTTAATCAGAACCCTGCAAATGATAATGCAGAACTGTGCTTATTCTCATATTTTAAGTAATCATTGATGCCCGATTTTACTGAAATATACCTACCTATAAATGCGTTTGGTATTGTTATCTTAAGCCACGACCTGTCTCGTACTTCTAGTCCCGAGTCCGGCTGGGCCATGGCACGAACCACAGACGCCATGTCTGTCGTCACTGTTAGACGGTCAAAATCTGTGCAACATAAAAACAGTGAATAAATTTACTTTGAAATATCTCCATCTTTATTTTTGTTATTTTAAATGTAATTCTTTAATATTATCTACCAAGTTTTTCATTAATGAGTAAACAATAACCAGCACAACAAATTTCCGAGTTTGGTACTGAAGCAATGGCCACTTAAATTCAATGTCTGATATAAAACATGTTTCACAGTTTGTGCATAAAAGCAATCTCCTAGCCACTCACATTCGGAGTCTGGTATAGAACTTGTTATAGAGGAACTCCCAGAGGTCATACTGCTCATATTTGTACTGCCAGGTCCTCCGTAGTTCCCCACCATGGCCGTCGTGTGCGCGACCCACGCAGATGGGTCTATTGGCCGCACGGGCTCATGGCGTGGGATTGTGAAGTAACCTTTTGGATTGGGGTCCCAACATTTGGCAACCACTAGAGTTACTGGACTGTAAGAGAGACAGAGATAAGGAGTTATCATGTTTCAAAAAGAAACTGCAGCAGCAGCAATATTGTCATATAACTAAGTAATTACAATTAATCACTGAATTCTGCGGAAACAATTCACCAGTGGAAATGAAAATGTACATCTGTCTTTTTACATTCTGATGACCACATACTAAAATTCAACACACAACAGAGACAAAAGGACTTCTGGGATTAAACCAAGTCTGAAACAGTAAACTGAACTTTTCTGTACCATGGTTTAGTAAAACTTCGAAATCCTTAAAACAAAGACAAACATGGCATTCTTAACCTGACCTTGACATTATCATATTTTCAAATTTAGCAACCTAACATGACCTTGACCTTCAACAAAGTGTGCCACTCATGACCTTGCCCTTACCCTGGTTTTTGCACTGCTTCCCGTAGTACCCTGACGGCATCATCATTGCTCATGTTCTCAAAGCTGATGCCATTCACTTCCAGAATCATGTCTCCTGGTTCTATGCGGCCATCCTGGGCCACCGCACCTCTGAAAGTGGGAGACACAGGTTAAATTTAGGAAGCATTAGAGAAGAACAACAGTTTTCTGCAGTAAAAACACACATGTGCGCACACACAAACACACACATACCAAAAAGCCAAGTTTTGGAATAATTTCAAGACAGAAATTCTTGGTCTACATTCCAAACATGTCTTGGGACAAACAAGACTCCCCATTTTTTTTTACGTTTTAAGATAAGTCCACCTTTGTTGTGATCCACGTACCCTTTCATAATGGACCCTACGTATATCCCACCATCTCCACTCTTGTTGCTCTGGCCTACTATACTGATACCTAGGAAGTTCACAGTGTCTGAAAGAGAGAATAGGATTTTATGAAATACTGACAAATTTACATAGTCTCACAGGTAAATGTCATACCTAAAGGTTTAGCCTTACCATTATCAGTTAAAAAAAAACAGGGAAGTGGTGTATGTATCTGGTTTTAAATCTTGTAACAAAACAAAACTTAAGATTTTACATGTTCTGTATCCTTTGCTCAAAAACATGGAAGCTACATGGGAAAAATATGGCAGCCATTACTTGGTCCACTTTATTTTTCTTTCAAAGTAAAAAACCTTGATATGATCTCTTGCGTATGTGCCAGTGCTTAGTGAAGACAATCACAAAAATAATATTCTCATTTTTCATGCTGAATAACAATTGTCCATAATATATTCATAGGACCATAAAACTGTAAATGGCAATTAAACTGCCATCAATAATGACTAATTACTTGGTCACAGACACTAACATCCCGTTCACAATACATCTGCCAGTGTTTTATGATCATAAACAGACTGGTGGAAATAAGAGACAGTGATTTCGACAAGCTGAACCAGACATTAGCTTGAGGTAAAAACATATTCATTGTCCAAAAAAGCCTGGAAAACATGTCCCAGTGCTTCCAATGCCTGGCACTGCTATTGCCATGTTGGAGTACAATAAGTAACAACAACAGGGGCATTCAGGGAGTGCAGACCTCCGCCAAGGAAGCTCAGTTCTCATTAATAATTGATCAATTAATGCACTCATGGAACACTAACAAACTGTAACTGATTCAAACTCATCCCATTTCTGGCCTACCCTTAAAATTTTATCAAAATCAATTGGTTATTTTTTGAGTTAGGCTATTATTTTTAAAACAAACCAACAAAGGCAAAGGCATAACCTCCCAGGTAGAGGTAATAAACATACAGGAACGTGGCAAAATTTCAAAGCACATAACAAGGTCAATTTTATCTCACAAAAATTTGAGAAATTTGAGAAATTTGAGAAATATAAACTAAATTCTCCTTTTTGCTACTAGCCAATGTAATGGTATTTTTACTTACCCATATTTAGAGTGACTGTAATGATATTTAGGGACATAGTGGAATCTGTAATGCTGCTAAAGGAGGAAGCCTGCAAGATGAAGTAATAAAACAGTTTAAATGCTAAATGTTGACATCATATGTAAGCAATGCATTCTCCACATAATGCAAAAATGATCAACTGAATAATAAATTTGCCAAAAAGTAACACAAGGAAAATTATGCTAAGATGAACTGTCTAATTAAACAAAATCCCATTTAATTATTTAAATTGTTTTTGTTCTACTTATATTATACATATTAATTTTATTAATATATTTATAAAATATTTATAGGAACCCTTGGGACTTGACTATGTGAATGTAGAGATAATAGATATTTTTTGTTTGTGTCATTGTTTATTGTGTGGGAAAGAACCCTGAAAATAAAGAAAATGATATTAAATGAAATATTGCTTTTCAAAACAGTAGATATGCATAAAAAACACAATTTAATTGGCTTTTAATGAACAAAAATTCTGACAATTGAATTTGACAGCTAACCTTAAATGCAGTACCCCACGATAACATTACTATATAACAACAAATATAAGACATCTTGTTTAATATATCAATTACTAAACCAAACATGACAAACACATTTAGGAAAGAAAAATATATTTTAGTATTTATTCTATTGTAAATAAATGATATTATGATATTTCTTTTTTCAGCCCCTTTCATAGAAGCTGAAATCATGATAAACAGATTCTTTTAAGTTCAGATATCAAATAAAAATCCCAATATGACTCAGTTGTCAAAATTTTCACTTTCTGAAATTTGACCATGTAAACAAACATTGACACTGGACACCCACTAACTCTTGGCAAGTTGATCAATGTGACATTCTGACCTTGGAGAAAAAAAAAGAAAAAAAAAAAAAAAAACAAAAAAACCTTAAGATGATTCAGCAACCTAAAATTTCACCTGAAATTTGAATAGTAAAGCAATTAAACAATGACACTGGTCAACCACTAGCCCCTGGATACCTGGCCAGTAATAACACACTGGTCGCTGACCTGTGTCACTGTCACACAAAAACAAGGCTTCAGGTATACAGGAACTCAAGAGCCATTGGGCCTATTTAGTACCAGTTGATCCATGGACTAACTAGTCCATGGAACGAATATGGCATGCGCTTGGCAACAGCTTCCAACCTTGGACACTATCGCCCCAAGCAGGGGGAGAGCAGTTTTATCTTGGCATGCTTTCACCATATTAGATCTGGGGACTACTTAGTCTACGGATCAATTGGTTCTGAACGCACCCTTTCATGAATACATGCTCATAATGGAAATTTCAACAGAATTCCTATAAGGCATACAGGGCATCTTGTAACACTGGTGACAAAGAGGCCAGAGAGGAGGGGCAGTTTGTATATCAATACCATAATAAGATATCTCATTTCTTCATTTTAATACAGGGCCAAACCCGACGTTTACTATAGGTGAAATGTTTGACTTTCAAACCAGGGTAAAGACAGAGCTGAAACATAGATGTGTTCAGTCAATTATGAATTTCTGCAAATATATCCTTACATTTCCTCTTTAATCTCATTTTTTAATGTGTGTACAAACCACTTATATAAACACACATTTGCTATTCATGGGGAAACTTTTAAAATTTGAGAAAATTTAGCAAAGTATTTTTGAATTACACAAATTCACCCTTGTGTTTTACCAGTGTCCACAACTCATCAGCCTCATAGGGAAGGTAGGGTTGGCAGTCCCCAAGAACTGCCCTTTTGGAAAGAAAAGTTCAACTCTGAATCAAAATTTTATCTAAATTTCACTCCATTTCTAAAGCAGGGCCAACTAGGGGAATACAATCATTTTCCAAAAATACCCCCCCCCCTCCCCTAAAATTGCTAGCTAACAGGCATACAGGAAAGCAATTCCCAAATTTCCCCAGTTTACCACAACCCATGTGACAGCCCACAGTATCAAGAAACACCCTCCCCCTGGCACTTGTGACAACACCAACTCTCTGGCTACAGTGATGTCTGTGAAATCTCTCAGTCTGTCATTCACAGCAGGTAGCAATGGAAGATAAACATCGCCCAGGGACGCTGAGGCTGGTAAAGTTGTGTAAGTGACTTTATCACGGCTATCATCAGGGATAGTAACCACCTGAGCCTTGGGGTCTACGCAGAAGGCATGTCCCCTATTGTTATAGGGAAAAGAATGGGATGTGATAAGGATGCTGTGTTTCCTATTGGTGGTATGGAATCAGATGTCTTGGGAAAATACAAAATATTGAAAAAAATTCCTTTTCTTTTTTGAAGGGTGGAGGAAATCTCTTTCTTGACCGTAAGCTTTGGCTAAAAGGGGCATTTGGGGTAAAATACCCATTTTTTTTTGTTTTTTTTGGCAGGGTTTTCTTTGTTTTTACCTGTATTCAACATCAGACTCGGAAGCAACATTATCAAGAATCTTTAAAGTCTTAAGCAAAATTGTTATTTTCCCTTGATAAAATACCCAGATTTCTTTATTTTGCTTTTAGGCATTTTGTTTTCTGACCAATGCTACAGTCAACACTGTTCCAAAATCATTTACAGCTGGATTAAGGAAAAAAAAAACTTGAAAAAATCACAAAATTCTCATAAAAACACCACCTCAGGAAAAATCCTGCCAAACATGGTCCACCTACCGGATTGGTATATCCCACACTTCCCTTAAACCTGGACTTGGGATCCTCATGTAAACACTGCTGATGATGCGCAGGTGCTCGCTCTCGTTGCTGCTTTACTGGTTTTGTAGACTGATACACGTAGGTGCGTGTGTGTGCTAATACTCTCTCAATATCCCTCCTTTCAGAGGGATTTTCTTTCAAGTGTTTCAACATTTTGAGAAAGGATAAAAAAAAAGAGTAACCACAATTACCACATGGATATGTGAGAGGTCAGTGGTAATCCTTTTCAGGCCCCTGGACAACCTCAACACAAATCTCACAACCTTTGTCTAGTTGTCACTTCTTCATGAAAATTCTCTATCAAATATGAAACTTAATGAACAATATTTTCACTTTCTTTCAGCACTTTGGTGTCTTTCCATTGTGTTCTGGTATCAACCAACAAACTGCAACAATATTATGCCCAATTGAAGTCTTCCAAGAAGGTTTGCCTACACTTCAGTAACTTTCTCCTTGTTTTCTCTTCATATTAACAGAAACACATATATCAAATCCCAAAAGAGTACATTTCAACCATAATCCGTAGCATCATCATCAGTATTGCCTTACAACCGACTTCAGCTTTTGTCTGCGAATAATTCCTCTACTTCAGCAGCGTTTGTGGCACCTTTCTCACGTCATTGTCCCCTTTCAACTGAATAAATTTCACTTTGTTCATTTCAATCCACCTTGCTGATTTCAAGCCTCCTTAAGCCACCACTCAATTTCACGTTCATTTCATGTCAATTTCACTCCCCCATACTCCAAGTAAACCTCAGCCGCCATATAAATATTTAGTATTTGCCTACACAGCCATTCTGTCCACAGTGAAGCCAAACTCCTTTTCAAATGGAGAAAGTGACACCTGTACCGCCCAGCAGGGACACTCCATAATTAACTTGAGTTGCTAGCAAACACTTCACTGGTAAAACCCTATGATCCTCGCTGGGGCCAAGGGGTTGAGAGGAGAAAGACTGCCATTGTTGGCTGTTCTGTAGCAATCACAGCAGATTATAAATGTATTGGTGAGGTGGTATTTACATTATGTTGACACATATGGGAGTCCTTGTATTTACATATATCATACAAATCTAGTTCAACTGGAAGCAATTTTGCATGTAAACAGGTCCAATAATATAATGCCACCTGTTCAGGAATCACTACAAATCACCTTTTACTTCATAATTACTCTCACAGACTTTCATGTAGCCTTTTACAACTTAAACACAAGTAACTATAAGTAACACATCTTTGTTCAACAAGACACAACTGTTTTCATCCATGTCTGCTAAGACATAAGGTAAAAAGTAGCTGGTATCTTCCTTTTAAATCCATCAACTTGAGCAAATGCTAAAATCGGCTGTCCACCTCTTGATAAAAGCAGCAATTTAGCCTTGACCAACCAAACTAGTCTGCCACCATGTCTAATCACGGTGCACATTCTCCTATGCATAATAACAGTAACAGCACACAGTAATCACTGATCAGGCAGGTGAGCTGTCAAACCCTGCACTGGGTATTGCTCCTTTCCTGATAAAGGTGACAGGAGACACCTGGTATCTGTCACCCTGGTACTGTCACTGTTCCTTAATATAAACACACATATTAAACTCCGTCCCAACTTTACATGCGTTTCTTCCCCCAGTCTTTCAATATGAACTACATGAAAATGGATCAAAATGGGGTGCATTTTACCAGTCTTTATACCCGATGAAAGTAATAATGGACTTGACCAGAAAAGAAATGTACAGAGAGAGTTTGGTCTACCTATAGACATTGGGGGTGTTAAGTACAAGCCTCTGGTATTAACAGGGTGAATTTTCACGATGTGAAAGAGTAAACCTGACTAAAAAGCTTGCTGGGGTTTTATCAGATAAAGATGGAATTTGCTGATGTCTGTGTGTTGAGGTGTCAAAATTCACCAAATTCATTTCACATTGCATTAAGCAGCACACAGGGATAAGTATTTATTTTCCCCCTTTAGATGTATACCATATACTTGTTCTCCCAATGTGCACAGTAAAATTAGTACTTTAGTTAACCATTATATGGCTGCCTGATTTTCCCGATAAAGTAAGTGTCTAAATTATTGGATCCTAGCCCAAGTATTACATAAAGTTACACCAATATACGTGTCAAGCACTTCCTCCCTGTGACATTATTTAACAATAAAATTCAGCTACATTCAACCTGCATACACTGTCACAAGATATATAAGTGCCAACATGAGTAGTATGCCACAACTTGGTGTGTGTGTGTGTGTGTGTGTGTGTGTGTGTGTGTGCGCGCGCGCGCACGCATGCACACGCATGCATAAGTGTGTCTGCGTGCATGCCTGCATTTGTGTGTATGTGTGCATGTGAAAAGGTCCCCTTTTTCATAA